AGAAGACAATTTTGTGCGTTCGATTTACATCTTATATGAAAAAAATTAAGGAATAATAAACATACATAAGTAAACAGGAAGAGGAAAAGTAGAGGATTAGAATGACAATGGGAGAAGAATAAGGAATAAGGAAAAAACTAAAACATGGTTAACTTCCCACCAGAGAGCGAGACATCACTGATTTAGAAGCAAACGTGATTTAACCCTTTCGAGACTAACGGGACAATATGTCCCAAATCAAATTTTATTTTGACTGCAGGGAAATATAATCCCAAATATACATATATAAATGCCGGTTCAGTCTTTTCAGTGCCTGCGATTATCTAGCAATTTGTTATTTGCAAATAAAGCGAGATAACCTCAAATTTCTTGAGCGCATGCTGATCTTTTCCAGTGCAATTATATACTCTTTATTCCGTGTAATCAAGTGAAATACATTTCTGTTAGTGTATATAATAGTTTGAAGATATTTTAAATATTCCTTGATGCGATATTTTCTGATTTTTTTTTGTGGGACGTTATGTCCCAACAGGTTTTATCGGTGGGATTATTTGTCCCACGTAACCAAAGAATGTGTTTTTTTTTTCTAGGATGAATAGAAAAAAGCCACTAAGTCAAACTGAGCTTGAAAGAATTGCTGAAAATATTCATTTATTGTAAAATCAGTTACTAAAATACAGTTTTTTGTATTTCTTTTTGTTTATCATTCTAGGATTTCAAAACTGATGGGCTGTAATGTCCCGCTGAAAAGGAATAGTGGAACAATATGTCCCATTTTTCAAAATATCAAATACATTTTGGAAAATTCTAAAAAAAATACAAACTGCCTAAAAAGCTTCCTAATGTTTAGAAATGAAATAATATCAATGATTACAACACGTGAAACAGAAATAAAAATCCTTCTCGAAAGGGTAATGCTTTCCTAAAGTAGATGACGACCAGCGCCAATCAACAAAGTCCAGCGAGTTTATCAAAGTAGCTATATTATAAGAAAATGAACGTTTGTATTGTTCTTTTCGGTGCTGTGGTATTCGGATCACATTTCTTCTTCTTAAATTTAAGTTGTGCACATCAGTGCGAAATGTTTTTCTTCTGTACAGGTATTGAGGGGATTTACTTTTAATTAATTGATAATAAAACTTACCCCGGTGCAACTTAAAACGATTGAACATATTGAGCCACCCGGACTCAGCCAAGTAGGGTGAAATATGATTTCTCCTTTTAACACCATAGATTAAACGTAAACAAGAGTTTTGCACTTTTTGAACTCTGTATCTATCAACAGCATCAAGACAAGGGCCATAAACACCACTACAGTGAATAAATTATGAAAGGACCAAAGCCTCACAGAGTAACTTTCTAATATCTTGGGAAAGGCAGTGTCTATTACTATAAATTACTTGAGGATTACTATAAGCAACCCTTAATTTTGAGATCACATGATCCCTAAAGCGCAATCTTGAATCCAACACTAAACCCAGACTCTTGCAGGAGTCAGAGTAAGGTACTGCTACATTATTCAGTTTAATCACCATATTACTTTTAACCCTACTTATTTGAGTATCGTTACCAAATAATATTACCGACAATTTATTGGGGTTGAGTCTAAGTAAATGATCAGAAGCAGTGGCATAGAAACTATTTAAATCAGAATTGATTTTATCCTCAGAGTCAACCAGTTCATCATCGAGAAAAGAAAATAATATTTGTGTATCGTCGGCATAAAAATGATAGCTACAATAAGTGAGTGAATTTAAAAAATTTGAAGTAAAAATGGTATACAACAAAGGGCCAAGAATGCTACCCTGGGGTACACCCATTGCGAGGTTCAAGGGGTTAGAATAATAATAATTAACGACAACTTGTTGTACACGATCTGACAAAAAAGAACTTAGGAACTGGACAGAAGCATCACCAAAACCAATAAAGTGAAGAATTGAGACAAGTATTTCATGATTGAGAACATCAAAAGCCTTACTAAAATCCAGGAGTGCCAAAGCACTGACCTTATTTTCATCCGATGCCCTGAAAATGTCATCAGTGATATCAGCTAGTGCACTCTCACAGCTGTGATTTGGTCGAAAACCTGACTGCTTGGGAGGCAAAATATTATATAAATTTAAATACTCTCGAATTTTTTTGTCCATGATTTTCTCGAGGACCTTAGAGAGTGTAGGAAGAATGCTTATAGAGTGCAATTGACCAAATTCAACAGGATTCTTGACTTTGGGCAAAGGCCTAACTTGTGCTCGCTTCCACGGTAGAGGAAAATAAGAATTTAGAATACAATCATTAATAATATGTATAATGAAAGGTAAAATAAATGGACAGCACAGCTGAATAAGAGTAATATTCAGCTGATCGACCCTTCCAATTCGGTTATTTTTGTAGAAATTTAGGAGATCTTGACCAGGTTTGTCATTATTTGCAATTGAATTTACAAAATAATCATTAAGTTCATCAGGGTTACTTAAATGTTGGGGAAGATTAAAACTGTGTTTCACTTGAACCAAGTTATATTTCTTCAACTCTGCCCATTTACCCCTGATATCGGTATTCTGAAATTTATACCGAAAATACGGTTTTTTTTCTGCCCAAATAGCTGATGTTGTATAGTTTCTAAGTTGTTTGTAGTAATCCTAGTGACATGGGCGCTTTCTTTCCTTAAATTTTTTGAGAGCTTTATTTCTTAACTTTTGCAAAAGTTTTACATTATCGTTAATCCGAGGTGAGTATGAGTAATTTTTATTTTTTCTGAACTGTTTAACTGGTGCGTGCTTATTGAGGAGTTTCAGAATACATTCATTTAGGAAATCAATTTTACAATGAATATCTGGAATACGGAAAATTTCTTGCCAAGGCAGCTGTTCCAAATTTCTTTGAAAATCATTATAATTTATTTTCCTAAGAAATCTATAAAAAAATAAAGTTGACTGATCTGCAATTTCACCCAAAGCCACTCGTGCAGAAATCAAAAAATGGTCTGCAATCCCCGCATCAGTAACACACGTCTCCCCAATATCTTCTATGTTTATAAAAATTAGGTCTATTAAAGAAAGTGATGTTGAGGACACCCTGGTTGGTTCGCTTATTAATTGATTCATACCAAAAGTTGAAAAAATATCTCTCAGCTGTACGTAGAGCTCTGAACGTGAGAATCATATGGCATACGCATCTACGTAGTGCCCTTTTGGTGATGTACCCACTAGCAGACAATATATGTTAAGCACCTTTCTGTAGTTGTGTGTTTTCTTGGAGAACAATCTCTAACCTCAAGTCCTACCCAGATTAGCCGCGAGGTGTGCGACAATATAAAAACTATTTAGTAGCAAGTTTTTTTTATTTAGAAAATATCTATATTAATACAGGTACCCTATAAGGTAATTGGCCAAGAAATGTCGAATCATTTTACCGTGGCCAGATGAATGACTTTGGTTAGGAAATTCAAAACTTGGTTGGATTGAGTTAGAAATAGATAGGTTGATGTCAGAGAAATATGTTTTAAGTGAGGAGAGATAGCAGACGTTTTCCAAACCTAAAATTTCGTCTTTATTTAAAAAAATTAAAATAGATAAGAAATACAGGACACGAAAATGAACTTTGAGATATACTCAATTGTAATAAACTTCGAAAAAATAAGCACCTCATCAAAGGGCTATAAAAAATAGGTCCGTTTATTCTATAAGTAGCGAGAAGAGTAGGATAGATTGATCTTGATTGAGCAACAACTTCCTTGTTGTACTTACGTCATAATGTTGACAATTATTGCTAAAAGATGTACAACCCTCGTGCTGCCATCCTAAATAAAGAGTGCACTAAAACCAGTCGTCCTTTTTCTTCGTCTGTTAATAATATTTGTGGCATTCATCGCATTCGTTTTCCAGTCGCTGAAATATTCTTCTCCACTGGACACATCCTATGAAATCATGTCATCGGACTCTGCGAAGGAAGAGTCATTAGGTACCTATATTTTTTTTTTTTTTTTCAACTTGCATTTTTGCTCTTTTTGGCTTTGTGGTTGAGTCTGACGCTTTTCTCTCCTCCCTGCTTTATAACTCTGATGTGTAGGCCGGTGAAAATAAAAATTTTCCCAGACTGGTTCAGACTCATAGCTTGTTCAACGACACCTGAGGTCCAAGCTTGATTTCCGACTCATCTGGAAGGCCTGGTTTCCGACAAACCCCAGAAGTTCCTGTTTGAGAAGAATCTAGTTTCAGGACGTTCCTTTGACGGTAAATTTCTGATAATCCTGAATGGGGAGAATCTGAGATGGGCACCTCTTATTCCACAGTTCCATTTTCAGCATTCTGATTACCGGGCTCTGTTTTTTTTTTTTTTTTCAGCAGATACTGCCTTTTTCACTGTTATCCCAAGCCTCTCCCAATATTTTACCAAATTCATAATAGAATCCTTTAAAGATTCCTTAAGCCAGGTTGACACGGTCCAAAGTGCACTTGGATGAGAGCTTGGACCAAGTAAGTAAAATTATTTGAACTACGTTTAATATTTTTTAGTTTTATACTGTTTGTGACTTTTTATCGCGTAGTTACAGATCTGTGAGATCTGTCATTCAATCGTGTCTTGATGTTTTTGATTCTCTTCGTGGCTAATCTTTTACAATTTCAACTTCTGTGAAATAAATTGTTTCCTTCCTGATTGGGACACATGCATACAGCCTCCTCTCCTTGGTACTTCCTAATTAGCCGGGGCTTCTGCTCTACCATCTTACCATTTCTTTTAATGTGTGCTGGAGGGCATACATAACAGAAAATGTATGCTAAATATTATCCCTTTTGCAAGAAAATCTAGGTAAAAAGGTAGATTAAGCTTTCTATAACCAGCTCTATCTTATCTCAATGAATTTGCTAAAGGTATGGCAACGTTTGCAGTACCACAGTTTTTTTCCAGTTTGGCTTGCTCTTCACATCTGGTGTGGATTATACTTTCTTAATTATTGAAACTGCAAGAGATATAAATTCGCATTATTTCTTTTTTCTCAGCTAGAAAGGCTCAGTAACCAAATCGCTCACTACTTCAAATCGAAAGGTTACAAAAAAGGAGATTCAGTCGCACTTTTATTAGATAACCGTCCTGAATACGTTGCATTATGGCTTGGACTATCAAAGATTGGTGTCATAAGTGCCCTAATAAATACGAACTTGGTAGCTGACTCATTGTTCCATTCCATTATAGTAGCTCATTGCAAAGCTCTCATATATGGAACAGATTTTTCAAAAGGTAATTGTACTTAAATTAATTAAGTACCTACATGATAATGCTTATTCAAATTCTAGCTGTATCAGAAATATCTGACAAAATTAAGGATTTGGAGCACTTTGAATTTGGATCCAAGAGCTTTGATGATGAAATAAAGATGCAACCAAGTACTTATCCAGAAGAAGTGGAATCAGTAGAACTACAAGATAAGGTTATTTACATTTACACTTCTGGCACCACTGGACTACCAAAAGCTGCCGTCGTGTCACACCTGAGGTGTGTATCCAATTGAAATAAATTATGCAAATTTCAATACTAATTTTATTTAAGATACATGTATGCAGCGGGTGGAGCTCACATTTTAGCAAATCTCTCATCTGAAGATGTTTTTTACAACCCATTACCACTGTATCATAGTGCAGGCGGTATGATAGCTGTAGGTCAAGCACTTTTATTTGGAAACACCATAGCTTTAAGAAAGAAGTTTTCTGCTACAAATTATTGGAGTGATTGCAAAAAATATAATTGCACGGTAAAATATTTTTAAATTTACGCATTCTAAGTAATTTTGTTGTTTTGCTGCTTTCATTACATAGTAACTGGGCATGCTATAAAATTGAGATAAATACCAAAAGTTAACAACTTGCAATAGCACCCTCGGTAGACTCTTTCCGTTTAAACTCATTGTTATATTCATAATAATTATTGTTCAAACGAATTCCACTTTAACGAGACCTTTCCAGTTACCCGGGATATAAAGTTTACTGCTGAAAATTAATCATTCATTAACCTGATTAAAATAAAGTCATCGTTTATTTTAGACGGGAAATTATATTGGTGAAATATGCAGATATCTGTTGGCGGTGCACAAACCTGGAACAAAAGTTGAACACAATGTCAAGAAATTACTTGGAAATGGATTGAGGCCACAAATTTGGAACAACTTTATCAACACGTTTGGTGTACAAGTCTATGAATTTTATGGATCTACAGAAGGAAACTCTAATTTGAGTAAGTTAAGTGTAAACGCAAATTTACTTGTGCCAACTTTTCTTCTCTTCACTTTAGACTTCATACAGTACAGTGCTTCTTCCGCCCACCTAGTCGGACATCTATATTTTAGAATATCTATGTTCGCTTTGTTGCTATCTATTATTAACAATATATAACAATTTTTAGTAAACATCGATAATACCGTTGGAGCAGTAGGATTCGTCCCTAGGTATGCAGACTTCATTTATTCAGTGATATTGATACGATGTGATGAAAACTCTGGTGAACCCTTGAGAAACAAAGAAGGTAAGTGGATTTCAATGAAAATGTTATACTCTGCAAAAGGAATGAAATATACCTACCACATTTCCTACGACCTCCAGAATGTGGGGAGTGTTCTAGTAGCCATAGGAAAGTAAATTGAACTTATTGTCGTAATTTTTAATCGAATTAAGTAAATGATTCTCGGCTTTCTGTACAGGTCTGTGTAGTGCTTGTCAACCAGACGAACCTGGTCTACTAGTTGGAAAAATTCAGAAAAAAATGGCTCATGCCGAATTTAGTGGATATGCAGACGAGAAAGCTACAGAGAAAAAAGTACTAAGGGATGTGTTTGAAAAAGGAGATGCTTATTTCAATTCTGGAGATGTCCTCATTCAAGATGAATTGGGAAATTACTTTTTCAAGGACAGAACTGGCGATACCTTTAGGTAAGCAGCCTCTAGCTTCCTATATTATAGCTTTCTGAAAATGACAGGCGCTAACTCCTTCGCTGTATTTATTGATGAAGACAGCAATAGGACAATCGCGAAAAAAAATGCAAAAGTTTTCAAATGTTCAAAGTTTTGACACCATATTTCATAACCCATATGCTTATCATGAATTGCCATGTGGAACTAACCATAAATTTGATTTCAGATGGAAGGGTGAAAACGTTGCAACAAGTGAAGTGGAAGCTGTTATAAGTAATATTGTTGAACTGAAGGATGCAGTGGTTTATGGTGTTCAAGTAAGTATCGCTTGTCGCTGTTACATACTCAAATGTGAAATTGTTTATATTGCGTGCTTTTGTGGCCAATTATTTTACTAGCACAAAAACTGATGCTCGAAAATGAATATTTTATATTGATTATAAGATAACTCACTATTACTTTAGCGTTCATCTGGCCTAAGGTCTTTGAAGTCAAAGATTCTCTATGACATATTTCCATTAATATATTCTCCGCAAAACGGATTCTGAGAGTTTTCATATTCTTCAGTGTACCCCCTGTGCAACTGACGGAGTTGGACGACAAACTTCGCGCCTTTCAATCCCTTGCATGTCAGCTATTGAATTAGCCAATAAAGAAGTAGAGTGTTGCTTGGATTCTCCAACAAGTTTGTTGCCGAGCTGCAGAACATTCCAGTGATCAAGGTTCCACTCATCAACTTCTTAGGTTTTAAGCCCACTATGGGTATCATATATGTAGTGTTTTAGTAGTTGTCTAGGGGTGAATGAAACAACACAGTTCTTCTAGCACATTCATGTCAGACTTATTTTATTTGTCACTCACTTTGACATAACAATTTAACAACTGCTGGTACTAATCAACACTGGTACTTGATTAAAACTAACAAAGCTACTATCAATTAGGTAAACGGTAAACTAAATGAACAATAGGTATTGGAATGCCACCAGGTAATATGGAATTACCAATCCTACACTCGGCCATCCTACTCAGAATCCGACTCGGATTCGTCGCTGTTATCCATTTTAATTTGATTCCAGGATCAAAATGCGTTTTTTTTTATTGTCATCAAGCCTTTTCCGTTATACGCTGTATTCTTTTTTCTCGTCTTTTTTCTTCTTAATTTGTATCCTTTTTTGGTTTCACTCCGTACTTTTCTAATGTGTTCCTTACTCTTCTCTCTCATATTTATTCTTTCTTCTTTGAAAATCTTCATTATTTCTTCTTTTATATCTTCTTTGATTTGTCTGTGATGCTCTTCCTGTTTAACTAACACTTCTTGAAGGGCTTTATTTGGGACGCGTTGCATGTCTCCTATTTGTTTTTTATAGCATTCATGCAATTCTTCGAGGTATCGACTAAAGAGGGACAAGTTTTTCTCGAGAACCTCAATCTGATTAGATAGCCTCAAAAACACCGACTCCCTTTCCAATTATTTGCCTAGCGTAGTAATAGTAACAACATTCTCCGTTTTCAATTCGGTAATAAATTTATCCACACTGTCATCATCATTGTCCTCTGTGACAACAGTTTGGCCTTGAACAGGTTTTGCTACAATTGTAGGCTCTACAGCTCCTACAGCCTTTAGAATTAGATCTACAGTCGCCTATTCAAGTCGACAGTTGGCAAATCTGGCCTAATTATTTGTGATTCAAGTTGACGCTCTGACTTCTTGTATATCATAATACCTTTTTCATCGATGTGTACAGTAGCTTGCCTTAATATATTGTTTCCAATTATAACTTTGAAAAAAGTAGATAATTTGGGGATCACATGGAACTTAACTTCAAATTGTTCGTCATTAATGCCGACTTGCATCGTCAAAGATCCCAATGTTTTTATTTTTGTGTTTGCTCCAAATCCTTTCAATAATACAAATTCGGATGTTAATTCAATATTTGAAAAATGTTCATTAAACACGTCTTCCCTCATTGTACAGACATCGCTTCCAGTGTCAAATAAAGCAGTCAATATTAATCCATTGATTGTAAGCTTAAGGGTGGTTTTTCGTTCAGTTTCAATCACATTGATGCTTAAACTTCCTACGCTATTATTTTCTAGATTTCTATTTGAACATTTTCTGGAAACATGACCATAATAATTGCATTTGAAACACTTCGTTCCCTTTGACTTATAAGAACAAGCATTCGATCTATGACCCTGACTTTCACAATTGAAACAAGTGATTTTTTTTTCTTCTTCGACATCATAATTCATTTTTCTTACTGTACTATCTTCATTCTTTTTAAAATACTCTTTCTTCATTTTACAAGGTTGTTCGTGTACATTGGACTTCCTCTGAATTCGTTCATACAGCTTAATTTTTTCTTTCAGATCAGTAAAATTTTTAGCTCCACACAACACCATCTTATTTGACGAATAGTCTAGAATTCCGTCAATTATGTATTCTATGACCACCTCAGGCTCTATGTACGCGCGACTTGCCATTTCTTTCATCTTAATCATATAATCTTGCACAGTTTCATCATATTTTCTTCTTCTTGTTGATAGCATTTTATATATTTGCGCACTGTTGACGCTAACTCCAAATTCTTCAATGAGTTTTTGTTTTAGGGTTGACCAATTTCGTATTCCTTTTTCAGATTGTATAAAAAGCTTTGCGAGGCCTTTCAGACATTTTTTCGCGTAAATTAACTTCTGGAGTTCGTTCCACCCAGTGACTTCTGCCACTTCTTCGAATTCCATAATCCACGTCTGGATAGGATATTCATCTTTCCCATCGAAAGACCTGATGCTATCTTCCACATCTCGAAAACTTAATGCAAATGAGTCTTGTTTCTTATTGAACATAGTATCCAAATAGCGATAACCTCCATCGTCGTCTTCTCGTCGCGATCTTTCTTCATCTTGACATCGCCTAAATTCTTGTTCTCGCCTATGGTCGTATCTTGGTGCAATTTCCTCTCTGCGCCAATAATCATATTTTCGTCTTTCATTTAGTTCAATATTTTCTTCTTCTCTGAGTCTTTCATCGTAGTTTCGTGTTTTCTCAATTCTTCGTCTTTCATAGTTGCAGTTGTCATCTTCACTTTTCTATCTGTCTTCATTTCTGTGTCGTGTGACGCATTCTCGTTTATCTTTTTCGTCTTCTCGTCTCTCTGCATAGGCATATCTATCTTTTTTGTTTTTTCGTCTTTCTTCATGTGCACGTCTATCTTCTTCGTCTTGTCGTCTTTCTTCATATGCACATTTATCTTCTTCGTCTTTTCGTCTTTCTTCAAATCTACGCTTCTTCTCTTCGTCTTTCTGTTTTTTCTCATAGTTAATTTTTTCTACTTTCTTTCGTCTTTCTTTTGCACAACCTTCATCTTCACGTCTTTCGCGTTCACGTCTTCTATCTTCACGTCTTTCGTCTTCACGCTTTTCGTCTTCACTTCTTTCGTCTTCACGCTTTTCGTCTTCACAACTTTCGTCTTCACGTCTTTCGTCATCACGTCTTTTGTCCTCACATCTTTCATCTTCACGTCTTTCATCATCACGTCTTTCGTCTTCATTCTCAGAATCCGAGCTATCGTCCTCTGATTCATCCGTCTCCTCTTCGTCTCCTTCATCAACGTCGTTTGGATTGGAAAAGGTTATCAAAAATGAACAAATCCTACAAACCACATCTTTTTCGTTTGTAAAATTCAGCCCTAATAATTGACAGACTCTGGTTAAATCAGAAAGCTTAAAATTCTTAGAAACATCCTCTACTTTTGCAAAATATTCAGGAGATTGATTGACAAAATCATATCCAGAAAACGCGCGCAAAGCCTTTCGCCTCTTTCTCTGCTCTCCGTTAGAAGCAAAACAAATATAGTGCAACACCTTGATAACTCTCAATTTTGCATGTGTTATATTATAGTCAACATTACCTATTTCACTCAAAGTTAATTTTAAAGTTGCCATTTTTTAAAATTTCGTTAAAAAAAATTAGGAATCTGTGTTGAAAGAAAAATTTTTCACTGAGTAAAGTACTTTTTAGAGCTGGCAATAAATAGTTTATTCGAGGTTTATATTTACCAACGTCACTGAAGTCTGACTGGTTAATCAATGTCAAAAAAAAAAATTGACAAATGTCTCGCATCTTAGAATCAATGTTTGATAAATACCTTAGTAAAAAGCACTCTCACAGGACTATATGTCACGTCCAATATTGCAGCACTTCTTCCACGTCGTTTCGTCGTTATAGCAGCAATAGGAACATCCAGGCTGACATCATTTACAAGCAACCATCACTGCTTGATTCACTACTTCGGTTTTATCGAGCTTTATTGATCACTATCGTCGTAATTATTCTCCTTCTATCCCGGACGAGCCCCGAAAATGTAGGGTTTTAGTAGTTGGTGGTGAATGAGACAACACAGTTCTTCTAGCACATTCATGTCAGACTTATTTTATTTGTCACTCACTCTGACATAACAATTTATCAACTGCTGGTACTAATCAACTATTTGATTAATGGCCATCACTTAAGGGATATTTGATTTAAGCTCCACTTGGATTAAATATCCCTTAAGTTATAGCGGTGCAAATGGCCGTAAAACTAACAAAGGTACTATCAATTAGGTAAACTAGTGAACAATAGGTAATGGAATGCCACCAGGTAATATGGAATTACCAATCCCACATATATGTTCATGCAGATGAAAGTCTCTCCGAGAGCTCTGTCCTTACTCGCATCTTGAGCAGGAACCTTCTTCTCAATGCTCAACACGGACTCTCATCCGAATTTGGCAAAATTCAAACTTTTTCAACTTAACGTTTGATGTAACCCCTTTTGTGAATTAATTAAAAGAGGCCCATAATATGCTCAGTTTGCTCAGCGAATAATTATTTGGGGTGGGTCAATAGTTTAATAAGTACAAAATGGCAAGAGCGCCACTGAATAAAAAAAAAAAAAAAAATACATAAAATATTGAAAAGTGAAAATTCAGAAACACACCTAAAAAAAATAATCAGCAAACGGTAATTGATAATTCTGAAAAGGATATAAATAAGGCATATACCTCAACCAAATCTTGACATTGGTGATAAAATAAAATAAAACAAGTAAGTTTCAAATTAAATTAGTATATGTACAGTAAGGGGCAAGCTACTAGGTATATAGGATCCACCTTGACGAATTTACGATATTCCGCAGCCGTCTCCACCTGTTGCTGTCGTTCGTTCGACGACTTTGACGTTCGTTGAGTTCGTTCACTTCAGTACGTTAAGATACAGACTGAAGCCCGGTCCAGACACAACGTTTTGTTCGCATCGTGTTGAACTGTGCAGACAG